TCCCAGCGTTAGTTCCCGCTGCAGTCGCAGGGTCCGCTGTTTTGTCAGCCGTCGCCATGTTGTTCTATCCAGGGCATCTTCTGCTGTGACCCCCACCTCAGTGAGGTCCTTCTTGATGACGTCTCTCTACCTCTTCTTTGGGCTCCTCGCGGCCGCTTGCCTTGTGCTTCGAAGTCCATTGCTGTTCTTATCGGATGATCCTGTGGCCTCCTCAGCACGTGCCCTACCGAGGGCCCCAAAGAAGAGGTGGAGAGACGTCATCAAGAAGGACCTCACTGAGGTGGGGGTCACAGCAGAAGATGCTCTGGATAGAACAACATGGCGAGGCTTAGGCCATCATATCGATCGATCGGCTATCTTTTTCCCTCCGTCAGAATCCACGTCACGGGTTGGAGGGTCACGAGGAATTTTGTCCATTTGCGCACTTTATAAGGTTTTAGCGCCGTTGTTGTGCACTTTTAAGCCGCGGCTAGACACTTTTGTAGTTCTCATGGGTAGATGTATCGTTCTCACAGGATAGACTATTCACATGCACCATCTTTGGTTATACTTCAAGCGTTTTTTGAAGAATTACCCAAACCATATCTTCCGTCAAGGGATTGAAAGTTAGGAGGTGACTTAAGCCATAAATGACTCAGTGCTGGGTGGCATTGCAGAATGCCGCGGCATTTCGTTGATTCATCACATCTAGCAAAAAACCATTCAGAGAGCTTCAAAGAGATGCTTTGTGAGCAAAATGCCGATGGATGAACAAAAATGTTTCAGTAGGTTACGAAAGCCTATTCTTTGTCGCCGTCGGCTAATTTTACCGCTGATCAAAGAAAAAGCTTTCCTAAGATCTCCGACCTGTTCTATGACGAAAACAAAGAGATCAGTTTTTGCGCTGGAGGATTTGTTCTTTGAAGTAGAGCAACCTCGTTCTGAATAATGTGATTTGAGACACGAGTTCGGCCACAAAATGTCCTTGCCCGGTGACCCGCTGGTACTCAGCTAGCGATATGACAGCTGATGTTGCTCGGAACCTGCTATGTACTTGCTTTTGAATACTTGGGCTAGCGGGCCCATTCACGCAATTAGTGGATACATTAGAGGGTTTCACATTGATTCGTCGTTATCCAAAAGGGATTTCGTTTCTGCTTTGCACTTTTAAGACACTCTTGTTAAGTTTATCGATTACGCGCCAGGCGTTTCTTGACTACATAGTGCGTTTGTACACTTAATTTTGATCGCTATTAGTAGAGTATGTCCTTGGTACTTAGTGGATTAATTACTTGCTGTCTGGAAATGCATGTGAAAAGAATAGAATTCAATAAAGGTTTCATTGAGAAGCTCACTAGTGTTGGGCTTGCACGCAGCTTCACTCATGAGGAGCGAGCTGGAACGTTACTGCTCCGCAGGTAATGGGATACCTCTGTGAAACCATGAAGAGGATAGCAAGCCACAAATCTCGGAAAATCGTTTCAAAGTATCGTAAGTGGTGCTGATCACTCGCGGATTGTTTAATGACTACGAACTAGGGACTATGAATACTCACACAAAAAATTGGCAGGAACAGTAGAGAACTATTCACTGGAAAAATGTGGGCGGTACATGACAAATCTTTTGAAACATTCTTAACATCTAGAACTTGCACTTCAAGTTGTATCGACTTCCCTCGAGAAAATGAGGAGACGGTCTGGGATTGATTGAGCTAGCATAATATTTCGATGCAGTTCAAGTCCAGGGTGGGATCACCGCGCCGGGTATATTTTTCGCCAGTGAAGAAGTGATGTTTTTACTTGCTCTCTGTTTTCCTGAGATCTGAACAGTATTCTGGATTACCGATAAGGAGAAATTCTACAAAATCGGATCTCTCTAGTAGATGCATAAGCTGAGAAGAATCCTGAATTCTGGGCGGAAAATCGATTCTGCCCCTGACTTCAGCGCCGTTGAGGAGATTGTCAGAATCCTTCCAATCTAAAGCTGTTCTACAGTAAGCTGAAGAAAACCAAGTATCCAATGTCATATTACATTTACTAGAGGAAAGAGATGGTTCCTTTCGCCTCTGCCTTCAGCGACTTTTTTGGCTTTTGCCATGCTTTTCATGGCCGCCCCGGGGCACCAGTTTATAAAAGTGTACTGATTCAGAGAAGTCAACTTTAGGAGTTCCACTGAAAATGAGGTTTTAGAATTTGATTAACTTTCAAGCAGAAGAAGTAGTGAATATTCGCCATTTTATTGAGCATTTTACAGCTACTCTGTTGCCCCTTACATGTATGGCCTTATGATGATGGCGCAGACCATCAGGTACGTTCTCTTCGTGTGTTGCCCTCATTATCAAGCACTAGCTCAAAGATCTTCAGTGTGTTCATGACTGTGGGAGTGTCGGTGCATCGCTACATCGGTGTGTGTCATCCGTACAAGTCAGTCGAGTGGCTTCCAAAAAAGCGTGTCACCACATTCATCATCAGCCTCGTCGTCTTTAGTATTCTATTCAACACTACACGCTTTTTTGAGGTAAGAAAGTAGTTATCATTCGCTATCGATTTGTTAACACTTCATTGGCTGATTTGTAAAGGAATAAATTTGCAATGGAGTTGTAGAGTTTCCATCGACTTTCCACCCTCTCCCCTCCCCTTCCCCTGATATACATAAATCAGGAATTGTCTGGCTTGTTTTTAGGGTTGGTTTTTTTTTGGGTTGGTTTGGATGTCATGTTGAAAATGACTAGGTGAGAGGATTTTCAAGACGAATTGCAAATTTGTAAGCATAGATTTACTC